TTAGCATTAGTATAAAAAAAAAAGAGACCGTACTATTATCTATCTCTGGGTGCTGCTATGAGGATTAAAGGATACATGTAAAACCCTAAGGGTATTTCTTTGCCTATAGTAAATGCTCAATTTATGTCAACATTTTGCTTATATCCATGATAAAGGGTATTAACATTTATTTAAAATTGTATGCAACAATTGCCAGGCATGAACAATGAATTATCTTGGTTTTATTTCTGTGCTTTGGAGATGTATTCTAAGCCTACCTACCTATATATCTATGTACTGCTGTAACAATTTTATTTGTGTTTTGGTGGGAGAATTTGAGATCCATGCAAAACTTAAATTTCATGCTTCAAAAGCACTGTGAAACAAATATGTAATAATGTGTTACCTTACAGACTGAATATTCCAGAGTGTAAAACATTTAAATAGACGTATCTGTACATTATTGAATTCTGTGCAAAAAACAATGATGACAACAAAAAACCTACCACTACTTGAATACCACCTGTCACTGACTTTGATTTTTTATTTTGCTTTTGCAGCATGCCTTAAAAGCAATTACTATTCCATTATTGTTCACACAAGAGAAAATTTACTAGCTTGTAATTTAGAGGCAAGTGGAGTGGACAGAAAAAAGGGAAGCAGCAACAGCCTAAATGTTTAAAAGACACAACATTCATCGCACCAAACAATAATTCGAACATGTTTTCATGTCTATTCACGAGACAGAATCATCAGTGAAAAGTAGGTTAAGGGAGGAAGAATGATGGAAAGAGTCAATAGGAAGAGGCAGAAGGGAGAGCATCTTTAAGCCCAAATTGTTATTTCTGGCCCATTAAAATATCAACATCCAAATGAAAACTGCTGGTCTCCAAAGAAAACTCTATCAAAAATGAACCATAATTCAGATACTGTACACCCAGGGAGAGTAAAGAAAACTAACATTTATAGCCTAAGAAGATTGGCTGTAGTTTCATATATACATTTCTACAAAATTCTCACATTTTATCAGACCTATGGCATGACTCTTAATAGCTTTCAGAGAAAGAGAAATAAAATATAAATGGCACATTTCAGGTAAAATTGTTTTTTAATGTTTCATCCAAGAAAATCTAGGTTCCTTCACTTTAAAAATAATTGCCCTACAGAAAGTAAATGTACCAAGGGTAAAAGGTAAATCTCATGTTTCCCAAAAGGAAACATACACAGAATTCCTATTTAGGGGGAAAGGTGCCAAACATTGGAAACTCGTGTATCCTTTGGATTATGGCTCCAATAAGCAGCAGGTAAAGGGGGAAAGCACACAAATGCTTCTGAAAAAAAGCAAGACAGAATTAAACCTCAAAACTCCTTTACCTGCCCAGTATACAAATAGCTTAATAGCATCCAACAAAAGATTCAAGCAAGGGGCTTCTTTAGTTCATTACTTTCCAGAAACATCTTCTAGATGCAATTTCCATCACTGACTCCTTTGACAACCCCTTAAGTGTTTGAGAGCTGGCCTGTCTTCCAGTCTTATTTCATTAAATTTAAAATTTCTAAAAGATATTTTTTCTTGCTTGCAAAGTCTTTTTTTTTTTTTTAAACATTTCAATTCAATTGATTTCCAGAGGTGAAACCAACTTCACCTGAAAAACAACTGTTTTAAATTTAAGAAACCTTTGAAGGTTTTCTGGTGAAAACCAGAAATCTGACCAATAGTGTTATTGAAAACATGACTAAAAATAAAGTCACATTTATCTGTAGTTGTGGCTTTTATCAAAGCAGCTTAAATCCTTTGCAAATAAGCTTTTCCAGAGAGGTGGATCAATAGGACGTGCAGAGAGGCAGGATTACCTGTGATCCACAGTGCAAGACCCCATCAATGCCACAGGAAGAAGAGGAGTAGCTGTTGAGATATTTGAAAACTGAAAAATCCCCTACCACCTCCTTCTCCAATGAAAAGCCCCATTTCTGTGGCTAAGATTCACACTAAACTTCATTTGCAAATGGATTTGGCTGATAAGAGTGTTCAATGCAAATATTTCTCTCCTGGCAGTGCAGCTCAGTTGAAAGGAAAGACTGAAAATTAGTTAGCTGTATGAGACGACAAAGCACCATTTCAGTTACCAGGGAGGAATAATTGAACACAGATTGCCTGTTGCGTCTTTAATTTAATTTGGAGACCTTTCATCCTTTGCTTTCCTTCATTTGCAGCCAGTACTTAGCCAGCTAATTTGTACCTGGTTCATTTTCTTCCTTTTATCTTATCCACTTTAACATCAACCATGGAAATTAGAAGCACCATGAATAAAAGATGAAATCTGACTTGAAAAAAAAAGATGAAATCCTTAAGTACTGTGAATTACTTAAAAACTAATTGGTGTGCAGGCACAACATAAAGGACTGAGATATATGCCTCAGCCCCATAGCATTTCTGATCAGCATCTTTGTTCTCCCTAAGGAGCTATAGATATTCAATGTTTTATCTGGTCCTACTTTTTCTTCAGACAGCAATGTCTAAACTGCAATTTACACGGCATCATTAATCTGAGAATGGATATATGGTAGGCTGTCTCATTAATAAACCTAAGGGTTTCCAAATTCTGGAAAATGTACAAGACTAAGAATTCATAAATTCCGCTAACCTAATGAGTTCAATAATGCTTGCCATGCAAGAAAAAGGTTATAACAAAGAAAACTGAATACATCAGCATACAAATATGTCACACAGAGGCCTAATCTGTCCAAAAACATTGCTGGTGGGGGAGTGGTAGAGAAAGGTGCTAGTCATAAAATTACTGTCTGGGAGTGATCTCCAGGAGCTAGAAAACTTAAATTCTAAGTATGTCATGCCTATCATGCTTAAAATGACAACAAAAACAACAAACATAATGTATATTTTGTAAATGACACTTCACCATTAAAAAATAGTTGCATATGCTCTTAAAGATAGGTTATTTTGATTACTGCATTACCTCCAACTGTACAAAAGTTTAGTGTCTTGAAAGTTTTGCATGTTTCCTTTATAATTTCCTCTCTGACAATATCATTTTTTTCCTCCTACCCTCTCCTCATTTTATATTTCCCCCGTATGAGCCAATGAAAAACTTACTGGAATTTTCTCCTGTGGCTTAATAACCCCCACCAACAAGCCATCCTTTCAGCTTGGGAAGCATCAAAGGAAGGCTGTGTCCTGAATCATTTCACCGCCTGCATGAGCCAACTCTTTCAGTCATCTAATACCTCACACCAACAGGCTAGAAGCTCAGAATAAACTGAATCATTCCTCCTTCACTATCTAGCCTCCCACAAGGTTCATTAACAGTAATGTGCACTATTTTACTTCAACGAGACCACATATTTTCACAGAACAGGCAACTTCCAAGTTGTAGAAGAAAAAAAAAAGATCTTGCAGTTTAAACATTATGGTGCATTGAAATGTACAGTCTTTGCTTCATAAGCAAGTCACTTTTTTTTGAGGGGGAAGCACTAAAGCAGGATTAAAAGCCCAGTTAAAAACATCAGATGGTATCTCTAATCTTGGGTTAAATAAGGACCATACTATATACAATGCCAGGCTTATTTATTCACCTGGAGAAACATGGAAAGAAAGCCCTCTGCAGTGAAAGGATGGAGAAGAAAAGATGAACAATTACTGTGCCTTTTGTTCATGAAAGAGAGGGTGAATAGAAATGAAGGCGACAATTACCTTTAAGAAAATTTTTTTAAAGCCACACAGAAAAATTAAACTGGAAGGGCCCAGAAGAGCTCTGTCCTGGGGTTAAGAAAGCAACCCAGAGATGAGGATGCAAGTGTGGGGAGCAGTTAGGGTGTCTGACCACCAGACATACAGATTATTTCAGGAGTTCAGTGTCCAACTCACACATAGTATTTTCCCATCGTCCAGTTTACTTAAGAGAAGGGGGATTGCGGGGAGTCTCTCTGAAGCAGGATGTCAAGAAATTTCAGGTGTAGGAAAGCCACAGTCTCACAAAGTGTCAAATCAATCGGGAGATTTTCTTTGGCTATAACTGCTAGGAAGAAGAAAACTGACAAAACTCATGCAACTCAGTCTCATTTGCAGACTGCGCGCGCGCGCACACACACACACCGCAAGATACCAGCCTCAAGGAAGAACACCTGTTCTAACCCTGTGCCTGCTGGGGGTGGGGTGGGGGAGGTGTGTGTGCGCGCGCGCGCGCGGCCATCCCAGGGACTGCGTAGGCCATCTCAATAGTAGGGGGCCCGGCTGCACTCAGGACCTCACAGATAGCACCAGGACGTCGCGGAAAGCCCCGCCAAATGTGTCCTGGCTAACTCGCCAAAAAGAGGCCTTAGACATAACCACAGGGGACAACCAGTTTATTTACCAGAAAGGGTTTTCTGGGGGAAAAAACAAAGGTAATCTCGAGGGTCAGAAGACTTTTGTGAGGTGTGGGGAAGAGAGAAAGGAAAGACCTGCACAGAAGTCAGTGTTTCTTCTAGCAACTGTTTCCGTGCCAGCGGGCTGCAATAGAGAAATTTCTCTCTAGGCTATCTCCAACTTCCTTCCTATATGGTCCTAGACTGAGAATCACACCTGTAGGGGCTGAAAAGCCTCGAGTACACCAAGTCTACCGTCCCCCACTTCCCCCGCCGCACTAAGGTGCAGGTCCCTCCATGATCTCCTCTCTCCTAGGCTCCATCCTCAGGTCGGCAGGAGCCCGGCCCCTGGAAATCATTCCCGCGCCTCACACCTGTGCTATTCTCGTGACCCACTCTCCACACAGAAAAGCTCCAGAACAGACTCTCGCCCCTTGAGCCACAGTGATCCTCTCTCACACACGCCCTCCTGCTCCACGGCCAGCGGAGGCTGCAGACTACCAGCAAAGGAGCAGCACAACTCGGTGCCCCGAATTCGCGCACGGAGAACTGAGAACTCCAAAGTGCAGCCCGAGCGCAAGGGGTGTGTGGCTGCAGCCTGGCCGGCCCCGGGGGCCCCCTCCCGCCCTGGCTCCCAAGCGGGGCGGGCCAGCCTCTACCTCCTGGAAGAGCTCCAGACTGTAGGTGTTGTCGTCGTCGGCGAAGAAGAGCACGCCCGGCTGCGCGCGCTGGTGCTGGTGCCTTTGGCGCAGCCAGGCAAGGCCCGCGTTACGCTGCTCGGTGGCGCGCGGCAGCCCGGGCCGCTTGTAGCGCCGCGGCGTGGGCACGTGCAGGTGCGTGCTGGGCAGCCCGGCCCGCGCCAGGAAGCGGCTCACCAGCTCGCTGCGCGCCGCCGCGTCCTCCACCAGGATCCAGTGCAGCTGCGCCACCTGGCGGAACGTGTTGGCCAGGCGGGTCAGCTCCGCTTTCTGCACCGGGCGGCTGTAGGTGGGCGTGATGGCATAGATGGTGGGCAGCTGCGGCTCGGGCTGCGGCTGTGGCCGAGACTGGTTGCGCTTTTCGGTCCCGTGCGCCGGCCCGCCCCTACGGAGCGGCAGTCGGGCGCCCCCGCGGCCCACCGCGTAGGGAGAGAAGTAGGGGCGCGGGGTGATCGGGGTCGCAGGCCTGCGCGTGTCCACGTCCAGCATGATGATGACAATTAGGATCCAGGGCAGGAGAATGAAGAAGCGGGTGAACAGCACGGACTTCATGGTGAACGCTCCCCGGCCTCTCCGACACCCCAGAGCGGGGCGAGCCGAGGGACCCCAGTGCGCAGCTTGGACGGCTGCGGCGCCGGCACTTAGGGAATGGTGCCGGGTGCGCTGTCCACGGGGCCGAGGGCGCTGCAGAGACCTGTAGCCGCCGGGCTCACTACCTGGGCGTGGAGGAGCCGCAGGTTCTGGCAAGCTAGAGCAACAAGGGGTGCAGGCGTGCGGACAGGGGCTGCACCCCACTCCGGGTGAGCTGGCGGGAAGCGGGACTCGGTCCAGCCGCGCGCCGCTGGTCCCGGAGTTGTGCCGAGTGCTGGGAAGGCGCTGATCCCCACCGCGCTCTTTCCGAAGAGTGGGAGCCGGGAAGCGGCACCCGGTGCACCTTGCCGCTCCAGTCCCGCTGTGCTGCGGGGACAGGGGCTCCAGCCGCGGGTCGCCAGGACGCTGTCCGGGACGCCTTCGAGGGCGGGCGGCGGCGCTGGGGGCTTTCCCTCTTCACATTTCTGCCGGGGTGGCGAGGCGCTGGAGGGGACGCCGGAGATGTTGTGGCCCCGGCTATGTTCGCGCGCCGCAGCGGAAGCCTGCGCTCAGTCCCTCGCTCTTGTCTTCTCAGAATCTCTCCCGGCTCCAGCAGCAAGATCCCAAAGCAAGGAAAGAAAGAAAAAGCGAGGGGGCGGGGGCGCTGCAGACTCCAGCGTCCTCCCAAGTCCTCCTGTGGGAAGACAGCAGCTTTGCTACTGGCGGAGAGGGGCTGCGAGAGGGAGGCGGGGAGGGGGCCCCTGCTCTCGGCGGGGTCTGGCTCTAACGGCACTGCGAGCAAGCTCGGGAGGTGGCAGCTGCACCGCTGGAGGAGGAGCGGGAGGAGCGTCCCCGCGGAGCTGTACGACCTCCGGGAGGGTGTGATGCTCGTTCATCTCTCTTCAGCTTTGTGAAATAAGGCAAGGTCTTTGGAGATTAGCCAGGAAAATCCATTCACGTGCGGAAACTTGCCGGGCTACGCGCGTTGGTGCTGATGCCTAGGGTTCGGAGTGAAAGGAGAGGAAAAAGCGAAGGGATCCCTCCTCCTGCTCCCAGCTGCCGCGTTGATGTGCTGGGGGGTGTATCGAACAGCCGCAACAGAAAGGGCTTTCACTGCAAGGCAGACATCAATAGAAGCCCACGGAGATGGAGGAGTGCTGCACATAGGTGTCTGGCATGTGAGATAGTCCAAAAGAAAGAATCAATACGGAGGGCTGCTGCCTGACTAGTTAGATCATTGGGGGGAAATTCCTAAAACTCCAGCTGAGCATGTTTAACTTATTTCTCTTCGGTAATTTGGAGTCACAACCCCTCCCAGTTCTTCACTGTCACCGGAATTATTCCGTTTGACCCTCCTAAGGCTCCTGTCAGAAGGCCTGGGAAGTAGAATCGCCTTCATTTTCAGGATGAGGAAGCTGAGGATCAGGAATTAAAGTGATTTCTCTTAGGTCAGTGGCAAGTAGCATAGTGGAAATAGAACGTGGGTCTCCTGTGTATATGCATAGCTGATGACATCCTCACTGCCTGGCCTGCAGAAATCCCACCCGACACAGTCAGCCGGGCTGGGTTGGCCTTCCTAGATAAAAAGATTGTGCCATCGAAATCAAACAGAGCGTATGATGACATATAGAACCATGATAGGATCTGGAAGACCCCAAGTAAACAGTTGGCACTTAGTTTAGACAATTTTTGCTCTCTAGCCGGCCTACTAGCTGAGTGCCTGACTTTGTGTAACGTACCAAGAAGAGCGGCTGTGCTTCCCAGGCAGGTCCCAGGGAAGTGCTTGCAAAGCAGCAGGAAAGCTCCAGACTTTTCTGCCCTAGCCTATGATAAATAATTTCTGAGCCTATCTTGTCTGGTTGTCTGCCTTTTTCAGGCTTGTTCACAAATAAATCCCTCTCCCACTGTGCATTCTGGTGCAACTGAGAGCTCTGGGGCGAATGGCTCACCAGCTTTTCTGACAGCTCCTCTTCTCCCAGTCCTACCCTGAACCTCCCGCCTGTTATCAGGCATTAGCTGTGAATTTCCCTTACTTCCTCTTCAGATTCTGAAACCTGAGAGTGAAATTTCAGACTAACACCCAGCCACCCCAACAACTCGTTAGAGCTAGCCTTCTGTCCCAACTTCCCTGTGCCATCCACAACTCATACATTAAGCTCTGCAGATTAGTGCATTCTAAGCATAGGAAACAAGGAAGCTATTAGACCTCTTCCCATATTCTCGAATAGTCTCATGTGCCTATGAATATAACACAACCTTGGGCACGTATCCCGTGCCACCATCATGCCAGGATGGGGAAAAGGAAGGGAGTCAGGAAAAGGTTTTTCTTAGAAAGCAGTGCATCCCCTTCCCCTAGGTTACTGAAGTCTCATTCAGCCTGTTGGACATTTTAAATTTGGTTAAAATGACCTGTGTTCACTGGAGTAAAACTGAAGTGGTTACTGAATTGTACTAAAAACGTCATTAACCTCTGTTAGTGGGAACTTTTGGTTAGTCCCACTATACCATAAAACCTATTTCCTATTGTATCCTCCCCAGGAACCAGGGCTATTCAGAGATGAAACACTGTGTGCGTGTGTGTGTGTGTGTGTGTGTGAGAGAGAGAGAGAGAGAGAGAGAGAGAGAGAGAGAAAGAGAGTCTCTCTTTAATGCCAAGGTTGGAGTGCAGTGTCTCAAACACAGCTCACTGCAGTCTCAACGTCCTGGGCTCAAGCAATCCTCCTGCCTCAGCCTTCTGAGTAGCTGGAACTACAGATGTATGGTGCTACACTCTGCTAATTTTTTCATTTTAGTTTTTGTAGAGACTGGGGTCTCCTCCTGTTGCCCAAGATGGTCTTGAACTCCTGGGTTCAAGCGATCCTCCTGCCTTGGCCTCTCAAAGTATTGGAATTACAGGTGTGAGCCATTGTGCCTGGCCCAAAACACTTTCAAAATCAATCGAATTTTCAGTTTGAGACTTTAGCCCATGCCCAGAAGTCATGGGTGTCAAAAAACACAACATTTAACTAACACGTCGTGGACTGTCACTTCATCTGTCTATTACCCTTAGTCAGCATTTGTACCCAGGCTTACTTCATTCAGTCATCTGTTGGTGACTTCGTGTTCTCAGAGTCAGGCAGACCTGGGTTTGAGTCCCATCTGTGATACTTTCTACTGTGCAACTTTAGAAAATCAGTGAGCCTCTCAAGGCCTATCTGGGAAATGGGGTTAATAATACATACTCCTTGGGAATCTTGCAGGGATTAAATGGTATATGTTAAGTACTTTGAAGAAGAGCTATTATTACACAGGCATTCAATAAATGATATGTAAATACATATAAGCCTTCCTCAAAAGAACACCTTAACACAAGAGATCTTGATGGATCATCATTATCAAATGAATATAAAATGAAATCTAAACAGGACTGATAATGCTTCTAAATATCTTCCTTACTCTTCCTGTAAGGAAGATGATTCCTAGAGTATATGTTAGAGTCTTTCCAAGTTGGTATAGGGAGGGGGAAAAAAGAAGAAATCAATTTACCCCAAATACCAGGTACAGCTTGCCATGCAATAAGGTTGACATGATTCCAAGTGACATTTATTTCAAATGGCCAAATATGCCATATTGTTTTACATTAAGTGACTCATTATGTAGCCCCAAATCTCTTAGGATCAAACCTGAGGAAAGGTATAAAGATACAAAAATTATTATTAAGGATGTCCATTTGAAGTATAAAACCAGGGCAAAACACTTTTAAGTGCAACAACTTATACTTTGAAAATATGGCGAGTCTATCAGGAGCTGGAATAGAAACAACTCCTTTAAGCTTGGATAAAATGTCATTTTTATGAAGCATAATCACTAAGTAAGCTATAGTACTTTTCCATATAGCTTATGATATTTACATAAAACAGGTTAAGCTTGATCTGTGGCTGATAATGAAGGTTGCTGGAAGTCACTAGAGTAATTAAAATAATTACCTAACTTTGGAGCTTCTGCACATCCTCTCAGTGTTTATTTTCATTTAATCTCTCTAATTATTTGTGAAGAAAAGTGAGCACTGCTTCATCGGTACTAATGAAGCCTTAGATTGCTGGCATCAGCCACTACATTTCAGCATTCAACTGTTGTTCTCAAATAAACAAAGGTAAAAAAAAAAAATCCCATCTGGGGAGTTAACAAAAAACATATAATATAATCACCAAACATTTACATTTTGCCTTGATGAGTAATATGCAACTGTAACTCCAGCAGCAGAAAGATTACAGCATGATTAGTACACTATACAGAACTGATCCCATTTGACATTTGAGCCTGGGGTTCTACTGGTGTGACTAAATCAACATTTAAGCAAGCATTTGGGGACATCTTTGATATTCTTAGCCAAGTAGGAAAAGGATTTTTTTTTAAACTATACAAAATTAAGTATTTGTAAATATCTATATGATAATACTGTGGTTATGGAAATTAGGTTTTGAAGAGAATCAGAGCTAATGCATATATGAGTAATAATGTAACGTGAAAGTATTGATAATCAATGCTCATGTGCATGGGAACATAAATACCTTCTGTTAAACTATCAGACACAATTATATGAAAGAATGATATCAAAATAAATAATTCGAATAGCCCCAAATTCCAGGGATACATGACAGTTTCATTGATAACTGTCAGAAAATTGACATCCAAACTGCAAATTAAATGGCTCGTTTGTTTTTTTCATGCATCTGGATCTTCTGCAAATATCACTTTTTGTCTAGAATTGTTCTAAATTATAATGTTTCCTTAACATTTTGGACATTTGCAGCTACTATGTACAAGACATGACGTTAGAGGTAGTTCAGTAAAATCCCATTTTTATAGGATGGGTTGGGAACAAGGTTATTTAGTAAAAGTGATTTTCTAGGAAAGTCGAAATTGGCAATTTACTTTAACGATTCCATGGAAAAATAGTTCCATTCAGTGTGAATAAGAGCTGACGATATAACATACCAGTGTTCCTTCCTTTCCTTTTATTAATGGATCAGAATATGCAAAAACCCAATAAAACATGCATAAAGACATACTGGCATCCTTTTTTTTTCTCATGCTATCTTAAAAATTGGCATTTACAATAAAATCGTAATTTGTTAGATATGAATTTTATTGTAAAACTACATAACCTACCTTTCCAATTATTATGAAAATCAAAGTAGATAATGTAGATGAATGTATTTTAGACACTAGTTTATACCTGTAAGGGAATCTTCCTCTATCTTATAGGAGTAGCATGCAACAAGATTGGCCATAGGTTAATTGTTGAAACTGGCAAATGAAGACCTGGGATTCCTTATATTATTGGTCTATTTCTGCATATGTTTCAAAGTTTCCATGATAAAAAATTAAAATATGTAAAATAGGTTATGTTCTACAGCTTGTTTGCTAAGATAATATTGCTTCCAACTGCCCTTGTTTTAATCAAGTGCCTGATTTGTGCAAAATATTATGGGTTGAATTGTGTTCCCTCAAAATTCATACATGGAAGCCCTAACCGCCCCCCCGCCAGCCCAGTACCTCAGAATGTGACCTTATTTGGAAATAGGCTCATCACAGATGCAAGCAGTTAAGTGAGATAATACTGGAGTAGGTGGATCCCTAATCCAATATGAATGATGTCTTTATTAAAAGGGGATGTTTGGGCACAGGGGGAACACCATGTGAAGACTGGAGCTATATTGCTACCAGTGAGGGAATGCCAAAGCTTTCCAACAAACCACCAGAAGCTAAGAGAGATACATGGAACAGAT